CGAAAGTCGCCGTTTTGGTTACACATACACTCGTTGCCTCAGTTGGCTGTGCTTTCAATTTTTACTTACCGAGAGTAAAGTAGGCTGTACTTTTGCGTTTTCTCGACTTTTCGTGACCCCTAGAGGACGAAAAAGTAGGTGTCCGCTTTCGGCTGTTTTAATATAATCTCCGAAACTACCAGACCGATTGCTGTCAAATTTTATATGTGTAGATGGTCAAATGTCAAACAAAATTTGGATAAAGTTATGTACTAGCCCCGCCCACCCACCCTCTGTTTTCTTAATATAAAATAAATAATTTGAATTAAGGACGAGTCACCCCAATTTCTCGAAAATGTGAAGAATACGCACGTCTTTATATTAATAATAATAATGTTAATAATAATAAACTTAAAATTATAATATTCAGAATATTTTGTTCGATTGTGGTTTAGTTAATAATTTTAGTCCTGTTTTGAGGAGACAAACTCATTCAAATCAAACTAATTTCTACGTGACATTCTTTCGATGTACAAACATAAATAAATACTTGAGCTTCAGATTGCTATTACCTAGTGCTGAAGGACAAGGGGTGTTATCTATTGCCTCTGGTTTTTACTTTACAGCGGTTATCACAAAACAAAAATCGTAAAATCAAATTTTATAATTTTTGAAAGAGCCGGATTTGTCGGATTATATTTACATCCTTCGACCAGATCAAAGGTCGTCTCGTGTCTAATTTTTTTTTGTCACTTTTTATGTCACTTTTCCGTGAACCTTTTGGTAGTATTTTTGTCACTACCTTTGCTTTTCGCACTTCGTTCTCCTGTTTTTTGTTGCCTTTTTCATCATTTCTGTTGTTTCTTTATCAATTTTTTTTAGTTTTTTGGTTGCCTTTTTTGGTGTGTTTTGTCACTTATAAAAGTGATGAATGAACATGAAATAATGAATAATCATTGTTTCTTTTTTGTGTTTTTGTCGCTTTTTATGTCGCGTAATTTTTTAACATTTTGTCGCCTCTTTTCCGGGTTTTTTGTTGTCTTTTCTTCCACTTTTTTCCTTTTTTTGTTGTCGCCGTTCAATCAATTTTTGTCATTTTTGTCCCTTCTTTACTGCTTTTTGGTCGCTTTTCTAGTCTTTTTTTATTTTTTCTTGTAGTTTTTTCCTCACTTTTTCATCGTTTTTTTAATTTTCTTTTATCGCCTTCTTTGTTCCTTGATTTTTTGGCGCTTTTTTATCCCTTTTTCCCTGTGTCATTTTTCATCGTCTTCTTTATTGTTTCTTTATTGCCTTTGTCTCTCACTTTCGTTGCTTTCTTTGTGACTTTTTTCGCTTTGTCTTTAATTGCGTTTTTTGATGTTTTTTCTGTTGCCTTTTTTTGCCTCTTTTTTCGCTTTTTTATCCCTTCTTTTCGTCCTTTTTCTTTCGTTTTTTTGACTTTTCTGTTTTGATGATGATGTTTATTAACGGTCAAAATTTTTTTAGTTTTGTAGTGTTTTCGTCTCATTTGTTTATTATCGCCTTCTTTTGTTGAATTTTTTCCTCATCCATTTGTTGTCTTTAATTTTGCTGTTTTTTCCTTTGTTTCGTTTTTCGTTCCCTTTTGGTTGGCCATTCTCTCGTTTTTTTGTCATATTTTTGTCGTTAGTTTCTTTATTAATTCTTGTTCCTGGTTTTCTCAATTTTTAATCCCCTTTACTTTTGTTGCCTTTTGCGTTCTTTGTCCCTTTTTTTCGTTTTTTCTAGATTTTGCGTCTTTTTCTGACACTTTTTGTGGCCTTATTATCTGCTGTTTTTTTGTCATTTTTTTAGTAGCCTTTTTTGTGTTCTTTTTCACTTTTATTAAATAATTTTTGTCGTTTTAGCACTTTTTTGGTGTTCTCTTCTTTTATCGCTTTTTATGTCGCTTGATTTTCTAGCTTTTTTGTCACCATTTCTATTTAACGTTTTCTCAAATGTCGTTTTTTGTGGTTTATATTATTATCACCTTTTTTGCCCCCTTTTTTGTCATCTTTGTTTGTTTTTTTTTTTGATCGCTTGTTTCTTGTCGCCTTCGTCTCTTGTCGTTTTTTTCTTCATCTTTTTTTTCTTTGCTTCTAAATCATTTTTTGTTGCCTTGTTTTTATTAACTGCGTTTCATATTGTTTTTTTTTCGTTTTTTCATTTCTTGTTTTTGTATTTTTTGTCGCTTTTCTAATCTCCTTTTTGTCACTTTTTATACTACTTTTTGTCGCCCCTTTTTATTCCTTTTACATGGCTATTTTTTACTATGTTGCTTCCCTCTTTTCCGTTTTTTTTGTTGTCTTTTCTTCCACTTTTTTCCTTTTTTTGTTGTCGCCGTTCATTCAATTTGCGTCATTTTTTGTCCCTCCTTTACTGCTTTTTGGTCGCTTTTCTAGTCTTTTTTTATTTCTTCTTGTAGTTTTTTTCCTCATTTTTTCATCGTTTTTTTTTTTGCTATCTTTTATCGCTTTCTTTGTTCCTTGATTTTTTGGCGCTTTTTTATCCCCTTTTCCCTGTGTCATTTTTCATCGTCTTCTTTATTGTTTCTTTATTGCTTTTGTCTCTCACTTTCGTTGCTTTTTTTTGTGACTTTTTTCGCTTTGTTTTTAATTGCGTTTTTTGATGTTTGTTCTGTTGCCTTTTTTGCCTCTTTTGTCGTCTTTTTATCCCTTGTTTTTCTAAATCTATTTTTCTCTGTGTCATTTTTCATCGCCTTCTTTATTGTTTTTCTGTCTCCTTTGTCATTCATTTTCGTAGCTTTTTGTTTTTCTTTTGTTCCTTTGTTGCCTTCTTTTCGGTTTTTTATTGTTTCTTTTAGTCTCTTTTTCTATTGCTTCTTTGACACTTTCCTTGGTTACTTTTATATGATCTGTTTTGTAGCGTTTTCGCCATAATTCTTTTTTATCGTTTTTTGTAGCTTTTATTGCTGAATTTTTTCTTCTCCTTGTTTGGGCATTTTTTGTCGCTTTTTTTATGTTGCCTTCTTTATCAGTTTCCTGTTTTTTTGTCTTTTTTTGTCACCTTTTTATGTCACGCTTTTTCTTTTTTTTTTCTTTTTTTTTGCAGTATTTTTTAACCTTTGTTTACTAGCTTTTTCTTTCGTCTTTTTTTAATTCTTCTTTTTGGACTTTCAAGCACTTTTTATACCTTTTGTCTTTTTTCCATTTTATTCTTTTGTTTGTTGTGTCTGTTCATTTTTTTTTGTCTCTTCTTCGCCGTTTTTTGGTCATTTTCCTACTCTTTTTTTATTTGTTGTCGCTTTTTTCCTCACTTTTTTATCGCCTTTATTTTCTTCCATTCTTTTGTCGTCTTCCTTGTCCCTTATATTTTTTACTTTTTTAAACCTTTTTTTTACTGTCATTTTTCATCGCCTTCTTTATTGTTTGTTTTTCTGTCGCCTTTGTTCTTCATTTTCGTTGTATTTTTTGTTGGCTTTTTTGTAAGTGTTCTCGCCTACTTCTTAATTGCGTTATTTGTTGTTTCTTTTTTGCCTCTTATTTCGTTTTTTGTGTCGCTTTTTTTTAACACTTTTTTTTGTTGAATTTTGTTCTCCTCTTGTTTTTGCGCATTTTTTTCTTCTTTTTTTTTTGGTATTTTTTTTGTTGGTTTTTTTATCACTATTCTTTTTTGTATTATTTTTGTTGTCTTTTTTGCCACCTTTTTATGTAGCTTTTTGTCACGTTTTTTCTCTTTTTTGTTGTTTCTTTGCCATATTTTTTAACATTTCTTGAGTAGCTTTTGCGTTTGTCTTTTTTAAATGCTTCTTTTTGGATCTTCAAGCGCTTTTTTGCGTTTTTTGGTTTTTCCCACTTTATTCCTTTTTCTGTTGTCTCTGTTTATTTTTTTGTCGTTTTTTGTCTCTTATTTACCGTTTTTTGGTTGCTTTTCTACTATTTTTTTATTTCTTCTTGTCGTTTTTTCCTCATTTTTTGTAGCTTTTTTTGTTGTCTTTTTATTTTTGTCTTTATTTTTGTTGGATTTTATGTCAGCTTTTTATGTAGATTTTTTATGTTTGTTCTCTTTATTGTTGTCTTCTTAATAGCGTTTTCTTTCGTCTTTTTTATTGCATTTTTGTGTCTTTTAATGACTTTTTTTGCGTCACCTTTTTTCGCTTTTATTGTTTACTTTTCTTGTCGTTTTTCATGTCCTGACTAATTGTTAATCGCCAGATTATACATAAAATCTTACATGTATTGGCTGAAATAAATATTTATATTTATTAATAAGGAGTTATTATTAGATGTTAAGATATTTAAGAATCTGAATTTGTTTGGTTATACATATTTCACGACCAAGGGAAATTCTGTCTAAAAACGTTTTTTTTTTTTCCATTAGTATTCTGTTCCCATTTCGCGATCCGTCAACAATAACAGAAGTCCATTATTACCCACAAGCAAATTAATTCAATTCTTTTAAAAATCCTCGCATTTTATTACCCAACGCCTCTTATAAATCCGATTAATAAACACAATTTCGCAATTTATTTACAAACAAACCTTGGTCGCTAAATATTCAGTTGTATTTCCAACCTTCGAACTTTCCCCGTCGCTGCACCCTAAACTTTTGGCAGCCACTCGTACGAAACAATCGCCCCTTTATCTATGCCACTTGATCTCAGGGTAATGCCGTGTAGTTCTTTATACATACTGATGCAACGAATGGATCGATGCCGCTCCAGCTACATAATTCCCCATTAAACTGCAGCCAACTTGATCCGGCTAAACTATTCAAAAAACTCAAGGCCACAAAAGTACCACTCGTTCAATATATTACATAAACTAAAACGCATAATCATTGGTAATTATGTACACGATCAACAAGTTCAAGGCGAAGATGATGCCATCACGACTGAGTAGTACCGTAAGGATAGTGGAAAATTTAAATTTAAATCGTCGTTGTTTACTTAAAAAGAAATCAATCGAGGAGTGTGGTACCACATGACTAAAAAAACTGGAAAATTTAGTGGTACTGATTGATAACAGATTTCCAAATAGTAACCCCACTATCGGTTCTGGGTAACCAAAGTCGAAACGAGTCAGTTGATTAGTACCACTCTATCAGTGCACACAGCGACCATGAACTTTTTAGCGTCACTTCTTATCCTACTTGGTACTTTTTCCGTAATTTCAACCCGAGGGTTACGGGAAGAATTCACCTGGAGTCGCATTTCGTACGACTGGCCTGCAGGCACACCGCCACGCTTCGGGGGCGGCGAAATCTCGTTCCCGAGGGGCAGGTACGACCGGACAACTGGACGGACCACCACAAGGCGCTCCAGTACTTCTAGACCAACGGGCAGCACCACCTCCAGACCTGACACAAACGATGCTTATTACATTTACCGTAAGTACCACCGTGTGTCCAATAGGTGTGACGGTACCCGTTGTAGAGAACAACATCCCTATGGGTGCCAACGTCTGGAACGAGAAACTCTTCATCACGGTACCGCGTCGCAGGGTTGGGGTACCATCCACTTTGAACTACATTTGGGTGAATAGTTCGCAGCACCATAACGTACCGTTGAAACCGTACCCGGATTGGGAGAGCAACTCGTTGGAAGCCAGTGGGGATAAATTCGTGTCGGTGTACCGAGTGGCGGTGGATGGGTGCGACCGGTTGTGGTTTGTGGATACGGGACGCATCGAAACACCCGGTACGACCAAGGTACGACGGTATAATTGGTTTTGATGGCTTCGGTTTTAGGGAATCCGGATCAAATACAACCCATTGCTTTGGTGATTATGGATTTGAAGACGGATCGGGTACTTCAAAGACACGTTTTTAATTCGTCGGTACTACGATCTGGAACGAGTTTAGCGAGCGTTACTGTGGATGTGGAGGACGACAAGTGTGGCGATGCTTTTGCTTATATACCAGATTTGGGAGGGTTTGGACTTATCGTTTATAGCTTGAGGGAGGATAGAGCTTGGAGGTTGAACCACAACTACTTCAGTTTTGAGCCTGTAGCTGGAGAGTTTATGATCGGAGGGCACCGATTCCAATGGAACGATGGTATTTTTAGTATAGCTTTGTCCGACTTGAAGTCCGATGGGCACAGAGACGCCTATTTCCACTCCATGGCTGGGTTTAACCAATACAGAGTGTCGACGAGGGTTCTACGAAACGAAACTCTATCCACAAGGTCGTACCACGATACGGATTTCGAGGTTGGTACTTCTCGGGGGTAACAAATAGTACTTAAAATTGAATTGTAGCACGTTGGTAGCCGCGGCCCCCTCTCCCAAACGTCATCGTCCGACTTACACAAAACCCATGGTATTCTCTTCCTGGGTTTAGTCAACCAGAACGCTCTCGCCTGCTGGAACATCGCCACTCCGCTTTCAGACATCTCCATCGTCCACAAGAACGACGAAACCATGATTTACCCCAGCGACGTCAAAGTCTCCGGCGATACCATCGTGCTTCTTACCAACACCATGCCCGTGTTCCTGTATGGTACCCTCGACTACGACCGCACCAACTTCCGGGTCTGGGTCGAGTCCGTGGACATGGCCATCCGAGGCACGAAATGCGACAAGTCCAGACGCTCTAAATCCTGAACTTGAACCAGAACGTTTTGTATTATGTATTTTTTTTTAATTTGGATTAAAGTCTTCGCTTTTTGTGTGTGCATTGATTTTTGCGCCATAAATCGGGAATGAATCGGACGAGTTTAGTGAACGATATCCGATCACCATAAAACTGTCTCTATCTTATTCGATTCCGGTAAAACCTCAGTAAAACAGTGCATAGTCTGCGAAATCTGCTCATATATCGCGGGCCAATCTTGATCCCGGCTTTTGGCTTACCAGAAATCGCGCCCGGAATGGATTCCTCCGGAACTACAAGAAGAGAGGTTTTATTGGGAGGATCGATTCGGCGGGGAGAGGAAAAACAAAAGTGCAGGTTACGTAAGATTTAATCGGAGTTGGAGGAATAAATAAGGAAATTTTGTTTTTGAATATATTAAGTGGCTCAGATAAGTCGTGACACAAAAATAGTGATAAGTTCTGGAATTAATAGTGATAAAGTTGTTATTCTTTAATGTTGATGATAAAAGTGTCGTGTTAGTTTGCCGCTCGATTTAAAATGCGCTGAGATGTAGCTGTGTAGTTTTGTGCCGCCTTTCGTTAAAACTTCTTTTATGTTATGCATGGATGACTGTTTCCGTCCAACTCTAACTAGAATTTGTCTAATTATCGCCAGTAAAACTTGGATGACGTCATCTCAAGATATTATGCACACAAAATAACATATTCTGTATTTGTGCTTTATTAGTCCGGTTATTTTTTACCTTTGAAGTCTAGATTTTTAGAAAAAAAAAAATCAAGCCAAATTATAAAATCGATTGCTCTGAAATTTTGCATTAAAAAAAATTTTGTTTTTTTTGTCGTCTTTTCGTCGTCCTTTGTCATCGTATTTTTATTACCTTTTTTGTCACTGCTTTTCACCTTTCTCTAGCCACTCTCTTGAGGCCTTTTTTACATTCTATAATCTTTTTTTAACCTTTTTCATCTTTTTGTTATTACCTATTTTTGTCTCCCTTTTAGTCTTTTTTAATGCTTTTTTGTTTTTGTTTTTTTATCGTTTCTTCTTCGATTTTTTTGGCAATTTGTTATTTTACTTGCGGCTTCGTTTTGTTTTATTCTCTTTTTCACCTTTTATTTTGTAAATTATTTTGACGTGTTTTCAGGTTTTTTAGTAGCATTTTAAATGTTTCTCACCGTTTTTTGTCCATTTTTGTGAAGTTTTTGCTACTTTTTTGACTTCGTTGTCTTTTTTGTCGATGTTTTTGGCTGTTTTTTAATTACATTTTTTGTCGATACTTTCTTTTTGTTAATTTCTTTGCCGTCCTTTCTTTATTGTATGTTTTATTCTCTTTTTCATGGTCTTTTTTTAAGCCTTTTTTTGTTTTTTTGTTCGTTTTTCTCCTGATTTTTTTCGGCAATTTTTTATCATTACCTCTTTTTCGTCGCTTTGTTTTGTTCTATTTCGTTCTTTGTCTTTTTGGTTTAGTTTTCTTTCTGACTAATTTTATTATAGTTTTTATTTCCCATTTTTTGCCGTTTTTTCACTCTTTCTTGACACAATTTTTTTATTGCTTTTCTCTTTTTTGTTTCTTTTTTACCGCTTTTCTTTCACCTTTTTCCCATTTGTATGGTCTTTTTTTCAACCCTTTTTTTTTGGTCGTCTTTTTCTTTTAATTTTTATTTTGCAATTTTTTGTAATTCTGTTCTTCCCACTTATTTTGTTTTTTCCCTTTTTAGTTAATTTTTCTTTGACGAATTTTAATTAGTTTTTAATGTTTTTTATCGTTTTTATTCCCTCTCCTTCTGGACTTTTTCCACATTTTTTAGCTTTCTTTCTCGTTTTTGGCGCCTTTTTTTTACCCTTTTTTTGATCTTGTTATTTACCGTTTTTTAACGTGAATTTTTGTGGTCCTTTTTTTATTGCAATTTTTGACGCTTTTTTTGACACCATTTTTTGATCACGTTTTTCCCTTTTTGTTCTCTTTTTCATTGCCTCCTTTTTGCCTTTGTTGTATTTTTTTACTTGCCGCTTTTTTGTTGCCTTGTTTTGTTCTATTTTGTTTTTTGTCTTTTTACTTTAATTTTCTTTATGACGAATTTTATTAGTTTTTTAATTTTCTTGTACCGTTTTTATTCCCACTTCTTCTGGACTTCTTCCACATTTTTTGGATTTCTTTGTATCTTTTGTCGTTGTTTTTTGGCTATTTTTTATCACATTTTTGTCGATACTTTTTTTTTGATATTTTTCGTCCCTTTTTTGACACCGTTATTATTAATCGCTTTTTCCTCTTTTTGTATCTTTTTACGGCTTTCTTTTGTCTTGTTCTCTTTTTGATGGTCCTTTTTTACCTTTTTTGATCGTTGTTTTCTTTAATTCTTTTTTGTCCATTTTTTGCAAATTTTTTTCTTGCCGCTTTTTTTTGCTTTGTTTTGTTCTAATTTGTGTTTTGCCTTTTTACTTTAGTTTTTTTTTGACAAGTTTTATTAGTTTTTTAATGTTGTTTTATCGCTTTATCCCCCCTTTTTCTGCACTTTTCCCACATTTTTTGGACGTTTTTACAGTTTTTGCTGCCTTTTTTCACCCCTTTTAGGACACCTCATTTTTTCGTCTTCTCTTTTTTATTTTTTTACCCTTTTCTTTTTCGTCTTTTTTGTCACTTTTCTCCTCTCTCTCTTTTTGGTGTTTTTTTTGTTGTTGCATATTTTAGCCGTTTTGTTTTCTGTTTTTTATAGATTTTTTTTTGGAATTTTTGTTTTTTTTTTAAAGGAGACGAAAAAAGGTTGATTCCCTTTTATATATATTTTTTTGTTGCCTTCCTTTTTTGTCTTATTTTTGTACGCTTTTTTTGGTGTATTTTTATCTATCTATCATTCTTTTTTTGAGGATTTTTTGACGTTCCTTCTTTTGACATTTTTTTGTCATCCGTTCTATAGCGTCTTTTTCGCGTTTTCTTGCCGCTTTTTTTGCCCTTTTTGTTTATTTTTTATCGCTTTTCTTTAGTCTTGTTCCCTTTTCATGGTCTTTTTTTAAAGCCTTTTTTGCCTTTTTTGGTCATTGCTCCCTTTTATTTTTTTTGCAATTTTTTTGTAACTTTTTCTATTTTCTTCTTTGCCTTTTTGATCTAGGACTAAGGACTAAGGATTAAGGACTAAAAACTAAGAACTAAGGACTAAGGACTAAGGACTAAGGACTATGGACCAAGTACCAAGGACTAAGGACTAAGGACTAAGGACTAAGGACTAAAAACTAAGGACTAAAGACTAAGGACTAAAAACTAAGTACTAAGGGCTAAGGACTAAGGACGAAGGACTACTAAGGACGAAGGACTAAGGGCTAAGGACTAAAAACTAAGGACGAAGGACGAAGTACCACTAAGGACGAGCGACTAAGGACTAAGGACGAAGGACTACTAAGGACGAGCGACTAAGGACTAAGGACGAAGGACGAAGGACTACTAAGGACGAAGACTAAGGACTGAGGACGAAGAACGAAGGACGAAGGACTAAGGATTAAGGACTAAGGACTAAGGACGAAAGACTAAGAACGAAAGAGTAAGGACTAAGGACTAAGGATTACGAACTAAAAACTAAGGACGGAGGACTACTAAGGACGAAGGACTACTAAGGACAAAGGACTACTAAAGACGAAGGACTAAGGACTAAGGATTAAAAACTAAGGACGAAGGACGAAGGACTACTAAGGACGAGCGACTAAGGACTAACGACGAAGGACTAACGACCACTAAGGACGAAGGACGAAGGACTACTAAGGACGAAGGACTAAGGACTGAGGACGAAGAACGAAGGACGAAGGACGGAGGACGAAGGACGAAGGACGAAGGACGAGGGACGAAGGACGAAGAACGAAGGACGAAGGACGAAGGACGAAGGACGAAGGACGAGGGACTAAGGACCTTGGACTAAAGACCTTGGACTAAGGACGAAGGACTAAGGACGAAGGACTAAGGACGAAGGACTAAGAACTAAGGACTAAAAACTAAAGACGAAGGACGAAGGACGCCTATTTTTTTAGTCCTCTCTTTTTATCGTTTTTTTTTTAACTTTTGTCTTTTTTGTTTTTTTTTGCATTTTTTGGCCGACTTTTGACGCTTTTTTGACATCATTTTCTTTATCACTTTTGCTCACCTTTTTTGTTTCTTTTTTTGTCACCGGTCTTTCATCTGTCTTTATTGTATTTTTCATGTTTTTTTTTGCCCCTTTGTTCAGCCGCTTTTTGGGGCATTTTTTAATTGGGTTTTTAGCCTGTTAATATTTTAGCCTTTTTTTGTAATTTTTTTAAATCTTTTTTTGGCATTTTTGTCGCTTTTTACAGCTCTGTTTTTGTTCCGTTTTCTTCTTCGCCTTTTATTTTGTTTTTGTCCATTGTGGATTTTTCATCGCTTTTTTGGACTTTTTGTCTTTGTGTTTCGTTGCACCTCTTTTTGTCCCCTTTTTTATAATCTTTTTTAAGTTGCCTGTCTTTTTCGCCTTTTCTTCATCATTCGTTAATTCAGAATTTTTTCGCCATTCTTTTAATGCTTTTTTTGCGACATTTTTGTCGCTTTTTTTTCATTCTTGAGGACTTTTTTGACGTTTTTTTTTACTTTGTTGGTCGTCCATTTTTTTTTGTTGCTTTGTGTTGTTCCATTTTCTTTTTCACCTTTTATTTTGTAAATTTTTTGGCAAATTTTTCACTGTTTTTATTTGGCGTTTTTTACTTTTTTTACCGTTTTTGTTTTATTCCATTTTGTGGACTTTTTAGGGGCTTTTTTAACTTTTTTCATGTTTTTTTAAATTATTGCCGGTTTTTTTCGCTTCCCATTTTATTACGTGGATAGCCTAGATACCCAAAAAACAGGAATTGTTGTTTTTATATTTAGGAAGTGTTATTTTTAATAAATGTAATGTTTCAAGTAAATTATCAATAATAGTTAACAGTTGCAAATAAATAGTTAACTATTCTAATAATTTGTTATGAGTTCTTGGGATATGACTAATAATTAATAAACGACAATGTTTAAAAAGTAATTTGCATAAGAATGTAAATTAACTATTTTATGAAATTATAGTTAATAATAGTTAGCTGTAAGAGC